TCCCCCACCAACAGTCAACCTCAACCCTTAACACCTTCAACCTCCAAACCCTCACTCAAGCAACAAATTTGTTCAACTGCTTCAAGCGTAATATCTCTACCAATCACTCTTTCCTTCCGAAACCATTCCTAAAACAACGACGGTAAACCCTTTATACACCTCAAGTGCACGGGCAGTCGTTCCAGAGTTACGTCCCTTTGCCTCGCAGGATGCGCTAATGTTATGTCAAAAAATAATTTCGCTTTAAGCTGTTTCGTTGAATCAGTATATCAACAAGGCGCCCACAATACGTCACTAAAATACAATATCGACCTAATCCAAGAACACAACATAGTTTCCAATGACTCACAAATATTTTGCGCTAACGATGCCATACCCTTCGATTAACATTACAGACGCAATAAAGATGAATCGTTGAAATCCTTCTGTAGATGGGGCATTGTCAGCGATCTGAAGCTCGTTTACAGTGTTTGGTCACTTTCTTCATGGCAAATAAGGTTATATTACACACACTGCATTTTAAGTAGGTGAGTCTAGTGTAAATAAACAAAACAATTGGTTTCCGTGACAACAAGATATACATTCTCAATTTTTGTAAATGTTTTATCATTGTGTATTTGGAAAACACTTGTTTCCGTTGAATAAGGCGTCAGCACCAGCTTGAACAAGCGTGCTGTTTGACTGCTATTTGAAGTGCATCGTTTGTCTAATGTTTAAAGTAATCTAAATCTATTTATGAAACACATGTTCCAACACCGACTGCTACCGGACTATGAATTGAAATAATAATTGTCGTGAACGACAGTTATTTCGCTCGACTCGTGAAGATCCGGTTTAGAACAGGTCTTCAGCAACCCATGCTTTCCGTAAAAGGTGACTATGCTTGTCGTGAGAGGCGACTAACAGGATCGGGTGGTCAGGCTCGCTGACTTGGTTGATGCATGTCATCGAATCCCAAATGCGTAGATCGATGCGTTTGATGTCAAACACTGGTTTGTGTGTGTGTGTGTGTGTGTGTGTGTGTGTGTGTGTGTCCGTGCGTGTGTGCGTGCAGGCGGGCGGGTGGGCGCGCGCTTGTACTGCGCCGGACTAATGGCGTGTTTGTAGTGCTAGCCCACTGAGATACCATGCCGCAGTTAAACATGAATACCCCACCCAGACACAGTATACTGACTCCGAGACGACCAGTTCTTGTTTAAGTCCCTTAATGCCGAGCGCCAGCCAGGGAAACAACAAGTACCATCTTTTAACGTCTTTTGGTACGACGCGGCCGGGGATCGAATCCCGGACCTTCCGCTCCTATGTCAGACGCTCCATCCACTTGACCACGGTCTGACATGGGACAAAACCCCGAATCAGAGCAGATCCAAGACATTTCCCACGAGCACAGGCACGGAACGTATCTGACCATGGGACACAAACCTTCACAGCATCAGACGACATGGCCGCTCGTGCTCCGCCCCAAAACCCCACCCCATACACGCACGCACACACATGCACACACACACGCACACACACACACGCACACACGCACACACACACACGCACAATACGATTACATATGTGCAGCTATTCATATTCTTGAAAATACAACAGGGAACATTATCGGTGTGCGTTTTTCTTTCCCTGTAGCTCCCATTGTGCATACACTGTTCTGCCTACTGAGTTCAACCCCTAACAAATAAAACAAGTACTCAGTCGCGCTCTTTCATGCATCCATTATTAGCTTCAGACATTATCCTGTTGTTTTAATACTGTGGGTAACTTGGGACTGTCGGCAGGTGTTCACCGACGTGATCTAAATTTCTAGGGTTAGGTTATGAAACAATTGAACTGTTCACAGATGAGAGTTTTTACCTTTATGCCATGTAGGTACTTGGGTCAAATTGGAAGGGTCCATAGCTTAAAGTTCAAGGGGTGAGTGAAAATAGGGATGGTGTTGTGCTCAACTGGATGCTCAACCTCCAGTCACAAGATGTGGTTCACGTCCATCAGCGACATGCCCACGGTGATACGCTGGTGTTTTGCCCTCCTCAGTTTCTGATCAACAACGGGGGGGGGGGCATGGTTTGATGTTCCCGGGAGCGGTGGACAACGAATCTATTTACCGCACGCCTAATTATATTGCAGGTATGTATTATCCATTACCGCTCTGGCCCGAATCCGTAAGAATACCACAGTTAGGCATTTATCCTCTTCGGGGTTTTACATTGTCAGGGAAAAATGGCAGACGACAGTAACAATCTTAGAGTTATTCCCCCTAGATCTATTTCATTCGGAAAATATCGTAAATATCCGGAGAATGGCATTATGATCACGAGATACAAAACTGCGGTTGGTATGATGCAAATCTAATGCCAACAGTTCGGCAATCGAGAGGTGAACATTAGGAAGGGGAACATTGGAAATAATAGAATGGGCCTCATCCGTCATTCACGTGCAAGGTATGACAAACGACAATATTGCTTTAACATAAGGAAATGGTAGGGTTTCCATAAATTCACTCGCTGACTTGGTTCATGCATGTCATCAATCCCAACTGCGTGGATCGATGCTCATGATTACAATCACTGGAATGTCTGGTCCAGACTCGATTGTTTACAGACCACCGTCATACAGCTGGAATATTGCTGAGTGCGGCGCTAAACAACAAACCAACCAACCATTAATTCACGTGCGGAGTCCGTGAATTATTAACGGTCTCATTTCATTGGAGGTTAAAAAAAGACACCTGTCTAAAAAATGTATTCACGGATGGTGAAATAACGAGACGGAGTTATACACAAATTTTATTGACGATAGGAGACACGTTATCTTGTATGTTTGGAAACGGTCAATTATCAGCGGCCATTATTCGTCAGACCGCTTCGTGGTCTTGTGGTAGAGCGTCCGCCTGAAGTGCAGAAGATCCGGGGTTTGATTCCCGGCCGCGTCATACCAAAATACGTTAAAAGATGGTACTTGTTCTTAACCTGTCTGGTGCTTGGCATAAGGGGCTAAAACAAGGACTGGTCGGCTCGGAGTCAGTATACTGTGTCTGAGTGGGGTATTCATGTTAAACTGCGGCATGGTATCTCAGTGGGCAAGCACCATAAATCGGCATCAGTCCGGACTAGTACAAGCAGCCACACACACACACACACGTACATGCACGTCGCTACATACGTGCAATAAGCTTTGACGCGACGTTAAACCCCATTTCCCCTCACCGTTACACATCAGAACACATACAAACGTACATAGACACACGCCATTTGTCACGTGTCACGTTAGTCTGTATGTTACATAACGGTAGATAATATCACACATCACGTTTCATACATACGTATATAGAGACATGCATACGTCATAAGCCACGTGTAGTCACATACTGATTTTAGGAAACTATTGTCCCGAGCGAAAACGAGGCTTATGCATGAATTCTTACATGAGTTTCGACACATCAGTGTTACACACATGCGAGTATAATTTCTTTATGACCCATTATTTCTTCATTCTTTTGAGCTCCCTTGAAAAATGCATTGATCACGACTGCCATCTTAGAAAACCAAAATGGTCGAATGACGTCAACAATCTTCAGCTATGCGACGTTTCTAGTGTGACATCATTCCGACCTTACGTCACAATAAGATTCGAAAACAATTGACGTTAACAATACAATGCGTGAGGTGATATTTGCACAAGTGCAAATACGATTTTTATGAACTCGGTTATTTCTAACCTTACAATAATAACCGGTATGTTTAATAACGGTAGATAATATCACACACCACGTTTCATACATACACACGCCATTAGTCACGTGACACGTCATGTTGTATGTACAATAACGGTAGTTAATATCACACGTAAGGACACCTACATATTTATATAGAGTCATACACACGAAATTTGACATTATTAAAAGAAAAATATAGTTAATGAATATTTTATTATCACATTTCTCGGTTTCAATTAGTTTGAAATGCAGAATGATATAGTTAACTAAACTAGCTTATGTTTATCATCAATATATTCCGCAGGGCTACACCTTGGCGTGTTTCTTTATTCAATAACATGAATACCTTAATATTATTTATATGTAATTTTACAGATTGATGCATATGAGTCCCTTCATGTGGACGAGGGGCGGTCGGGTAGCCTAGTGGTTAATGCGTTGGCTCGTCACGACGAAGATCCGGGTTCGATTCCCGACATGGGTACAATGTGTGAAGCCTATTTCTGGCGTCCCCCGCCGTGATATTGCTTAAAGCGGCGTAAAACCATACTCACTCACGTGGATAAGCGTCACGATCTTTCGTTCTATTTCAAAATTAGGTAATCTTTAATGGCGTCATAATGTCATGACGTCATTTTTGCAACTGATGAGGTAGCGCATGGTGCCTACAGTTAGCCTAGCCTTGGCGACCTTTGACCTCAGTACATTCATTGCAGCGTTAACATTCTGACAAATGTTTACCGAATTATTTTCTTTGCAAATCACTCTGATATAGATTGCTTTTCTGTGTGAGTGAAGCCGATCGATGGATCGATCTTAATATTGAAAAAGACGAATAATAGATTGTCTGTCAGCTTTAAATTTAGGGATAAATACATTGTCACTCACAAATTTGAATATCTTGCTCGACCTACATCAGATCTCAGAACATTGGATTCTCGGGAGGATAAAATCTGTGGATGATATGAGAGTCAGTCTTAATAAACACGCACACAAACACGTCATTCCATCTCTGATTAATACCAGTGGATTGAACGCATAGAGACAAAACAAACATAAACGTTCCATATAATCCCGACTTTCCCCCCAAAAAGTTGCGTCAACAATAGTATGAAATTAGCAAATTGATACATTGAACTACAAGCGGAGTTATTCCATGGAGCAATTCATCACAACACAATGTCCTTTCGCTACATATTGATGCGACCATATAACCTACCCGGTATAAATCGATGTAGTGATACATATTGTTTACGACACGTTGGTCTGCGCATGTCATTGAAGCGCTGGAGGAGCAAGTGTCTTGACAAACGCAGGCCAAGCAGCAGACTGTCGACAACGGCTGCAGGGTCAGCTTTTCTTGGAATTAGTTCTGCAAACCTGCGTGCCAGATTGAAAATCCAAAATGGATGTCAGTTTCTTCTACGGTACTGTGGCTTGTATGGTTCTGGCCTTGGTCTCGTGTGTTTGTAAGTAGATCTATTTCAGTATCCATGTGTGAATTATTAACTTTTTAAGAGATCCTGTTTTCGCTGTTACCTTGAGGGCAGAAAAACGAATGTACAGCCATGTTTTGATGGTGGTTAAGATAAAACGAACAAGAAATGGTTATTCGAGGATTATGTATTTGAAACGGGTATCATAGTTGTGTTTTGGACCTAAAATTTGCAGTGTTCCGGCGGCCGTTTTCATTCTTGTAACGTGTTGATAATGTGTGTAATTTTTGGGTCAACTCAATTTTCAAGTGTATACTTTTTTTTGTCCGTCAGTTTATTAGTTGATTGAAAGAAAAAAAAGATTGGATTCATGATTGAATGATTAAAGTGTAATATTTTCTGTTAAGTAAATGGCAATGTGTGAAGCCCATTTCTGGTGTCCCCCGCCGTGATATTGCTGGAATATTGCTAAAGGCGGCGTAAAACCATACTCACTCACTCACTCACTGTTAAGTAAATGGGGTATGTTTACCGTGTGGTAAATATTTACTTTATTTAAATGTTACAATTTGATGTGAAACGTGACTGTTAACTTATTCTATCATCACTGTGTGTGAAAGTATGTATATTAAAAAAAGAATTTTAACAGGTAAAACCGCTTAACATACAAGGAATATAAGAACGACGAACAAACGGAAGCTATATTCATCCATCACATACCCAAAGCGCCTTATCAAATACCGGTAATATAGACAAAACACCGTCATTATGTCACTGTGAGTTCGTATTTCTGTTAACCTATCGGAAACATCTTTAAATGTAAACACGTTATTTTCTGCAGATGGCCCCTAGATAGAATTATCCTCTGGTAACTATGGTTACACATCCATTTTATCAATATCTTTATCGTTCATGCTTGTCATTCATATACTCATCTGCCGGCTCGGTGTATACGCAAAGTCGAAGTATGTAACAAGTATATTGATTCCACGTGGAAAATAACCATGAAATCGTTGTGTATTTCTGACTATCAAAACACATTCCCCTTTTTTTTGTAAGAATCATTTTCACGAACCAACATGGGAATTGATTATTACAGATGTAAACAAGCATAGCAAGATCCGATTATATTTAATATGTTGATACACTACTGGAAACTGGAGTATTGAGTTTGTATTGAACGATTAAAATCAGAGCGGTAGGGGCAGGATACGCTCACCTTTTCGCAAACATTGGACAGAGATTCATAAACACATGAATACCATTATGAAGCGTACAATAGACTCTGTTCTAAGCAGCGATGAATATGGAAAAGTTTTTGTATTATTATGACTATTTTATAATTATTATGATGATGATGATGTTGTTGATGATGATGATGATGATGATGATGATGATGATGATGATGATGATGATGATTCGCCCTGATTACCATCTACATTTTCTAATCCTCATACCCTGTTTTTCCCAATTCTGTTAACTACCACCATCTGGAATGGTGTTGGTTTCCCTCCATTTCAAGCTGACACTGATATGTAGTTCAAGTGGCGTTAAATAATGGCCAGGTCACTCTTGTTCTCAATATTGCGTTATGATTGAGATTATTGAGAGAAAACACGTACAGAAAGTAATCATCTTCGATTGCTTCTTGGCGGATTTCTGAACTAAAGCTCATCTGGTATTTTCTACACCTCAACTGTTTTCCCTTGTCAAGGCATTACGTGGTGTCGTTACACGGAGATGTTATTTCAGAACATTGGAAGTGATATCACAGAGTCATCAGGACCCTGAACTTGAATAAATGTCACTTTGGAGGAGCAAGAATCGTAGGAACAAGTGTTATCGTGAATACACTCGAAAGGAGTTGCCATTAAGCATAGCGCCATTAAAGGAGAGTTTGTTTTCACTGTGCGGGTGTTTTGCTGGTTGTCAAGTCAACGGCTGATGCGAGTCTTCCTGCAAAGACATCAAAGAGCGATATACGTCTCTTGCTCAAAAGTTGTTTGATCAAGGTGACAACATTCAAGGCCTCAGTAAAGCTTTCAAAACGTTTTATTATAAACATGTGAGCATATTTACAAATTTGATGCATCAGTGACAAAAATTATGTCCGATGTACTTCCTATTTCCACTTGTCTCAGCGTTTTTTCGAATGAACAATTGACTTGCTCTTGCATGTGTTTGTGACAAGTGCCACCGATGGGGTAGGATACGCTCACCTTTTCGCGAAAATGGTTTTGATCACTATTCCATAGTTTTTCACATACGCAGGTTAATGATATAATTGGAATCGTACAATCGACTCAGAGTCTGCTTTCAGCCGAGATGTGTTATGATAATGGAAATGGTTTTGTCGCTTTTATTTAATGTTTCTTTTAATGTATAAATATTGCAATGGTAAAATATATGTTTGTCAATATACAATGTACCTTTATACAAAACTTTTAATGACGTCTTTTTATTCGTATTTTGGTCTCGACGCTACATGGCTGAAATTCTGCCGTTTACGTTTTCATTCAGTCATTCACTACCACGTTTTATTTTAATCCTGTTATTTGTTTATCCGGACGATTTCACCAGGAACCACACTACCCGGATTAATGGTATTGTCTGTAGAACGTACTTTCCGCCTCAACCACCGATACTGCTGTTTGCATTATGGCTCGCGTATACTGTCATATTCTACTGGGGATGTGAGTTATTGCAAACTCAATAACCGGATTATCAATACTGGATCCAATATAGTTGATTAGGGATTCAATATCCCACAAATGGCCTGTCGTACATTGACCTGTGTGAGATTCAAACGGTGAGAGAAAGTGAGTTGGCCAGGCCTTCTGCTGAGACTGAGACGTGATGGGTTTGTCAGATGTTGAGATTAATGCCCCCCAAAATGTCGAGTGTCGTTAACTATTGCAATACTAATGTAACCAATAATGACCCCATTGTGACAAGTCATCGACGCCTTCAAAAGTATTTTCAAACATAGAACAAGGCACAGTCACAACGGAGATGGGGTTACAATGTTCAGAGTTTTAAGATATGAAGTTTTTGAAAGGCGTTTAGAAATACATGATATACATGAGGAAGAGAATTCATCGGGTGAACGATATGAGTGTTGATTTGAAATTTTGAGATTCACTTTTTAGACAGAACGCGTTAGTCTGAGGTTTCAAATGGATACTTTCCAGGTTTCAAATCTCATACGTACAATGGGGTTTTATCACTACACACCCACCCACCCCCCCCCCCCCCCCCCCCCCCCCACACACACACACACACACACACTATCTCTCTCTCTCACACACACCCACAACCCCATACGAACACCCACATATACACACAAATACCCACATACCCCCCGACCCCCCTTCTCTCTCTCTCCCTCTCTCTCTCTCTCTCTCTTCCAGACATGTCCTTTCCACCTGTGTACTGGATTCCAAAGCTCCAAAATTCAATATTGCAGGGTCCAGCAAGTGTACTACTAATGCCATATCCAAGTGTAACCACAATCCCATAAAAGAAACACGTTCTTTACTTTCACAACAGTGAGTGAGTTAATATGGATCTTTGCCGCTTTCAGCAATATTCCAGCAATATCACGGCGGGGGACACCAGAAATGGGCTTCACACATTGTACCCATGTCGGGAATCGAACCCGAGTCTTCGGCGTGACGAGAGAACGCTTTAACCACTAGGCTACCCGACCGCCCCTACTGAACCAGAATTAACGGAGACCAGTGAAACCGCCTCATTGTTTTCATACTTAGTTCTAAGCATAAAGATTCGGAGTGACAAAACACTCCACAAAACTGTATGACAAGAGGGATGACTTCAACTTTCCAAACATCAACTTTCCCTTCATGTCGAGCAATATTCCTCCCGCTCCGGCCCTTGGCGTCCACGTTTCACAACTTTGAGGGTTCAATTCCACATGCTTTTTCTACGAAGCTTTGAAGGCGTGTCATACAGCTCTTGCTTGGTCAGCGTTATGGCATTCAGTATTGTCTCAGTGAAGTGAGCAAATAGGACGGGAACCACCGGTAGAGCATGATGCGCTGACCTTTTCGCGAACACCTGGCATCATCACAATTTCAAAGTGATTCACAAACAAAGGAGACAAACCCTTTCAATAATCATATGGAATCTCTAAAAGTAAAATCCATTGTCTGATTCCGACTACGACAAAAGCATGACTTTGTGTTTATATGACACACATACTTCTGGTGCGGTCGAAATCGGGTTTTGTCGCTTATATTTATCGGATATAGGTTTCAGCCCTTTGTTTCAGCACACTGGTTCCGTCTCCTTGCAATGTTTTCTTTTTAAATTTGCGGAAGATTCACATTCACTAAACTTTGGAAATAACCCTGTAATAATAATAATAATAAAAATAATAATAATAAATTAAATAATAATAGTAACAACAATGATGATGATGATCATCATTATTATTATTTTTATTTTTATTATTACAGGGTTATTTCCAAAGTTTAGTGAATGTGAATCTTCCGATGATCATCATCATTATTATTATTATTATTATTATTACTATTATTATTATAAAAATAAATATAAAAATGAATAATAAATAATATAAAAATGGTCATTATGACACTATAGAATTATTTCAATAATTGTACAGAAAATACTGATTAACAACATTAATTTGTCCTGACAATACTCGGAAAAGTATTTGGTTCAGTTTAAAAAAAAATATAATATGGTTGCAGGACATGGTGCATATCCTTTAAATGCATTGTGGAAAAGACGACGACTCTTTCCAGAGAAACGTGTAGTTAGTGTCTGTTGTGTTTTGCTGCTCGTCTGCTTTTGTTTGAGACGAACACGACTTTAAGCTACACTTGAGTTCTTAAACAGGCACATATCGTGTACAGCGTGGAGACTGACTTCTCACTTGGGCGCGGTTCGAACATGATTGAAGTTAAAAAATTGGGATTCACTTCCGGTAACTAATCCGAATACAGAATATATTTAATTATTCTACGGCTCCCTAAAAAAATATTTAAGGTCGGCACCTAACGAGTGAGTGAGTGAGTGAGTGAGTGAGTGATGTGTTATGTCCGACATTAAACCTGACATCATTCACTTCCTGAACTCCCTTTCAGGCGGTGAAGTTGACTACATGATGGGGCCAATGAACGCGTCATGGACGGAGGCGAAAGACTACTGCACGGCGAGGGGAGGCCTCATGTACATGCAGACAGAGGTCGGACAGTGGGACGACCTCAACAGAAGCCTAGAAAAACAGAATCTGGCACTTAAAAATGACAGGTAGGTGATATGATCCTGTGTGCATCTCAGCAAATTCACTTTTAAGAGTTGCGTGGATTACTCATACCAAGAGGGCACTTGTGGCACATCGTCTTGGGCGCCGCGATTCGCTGTGCAGAGTTGTGTCCCTTGGGCACGTCAGAAACCTTTGATCGTGGGTTCGAATCCCGGTTCACTTAGTTTATGTTTCTAGGTCGACACCATACCCGTGCTCGTGGGTTTCACCGAAGTGGAAAACGTCTGAGACCTGCATCACATCGGGCTTTCCTCCCACATTAAGCTGACACGCCGTGATATAACTCGGATACACGGCGTTAAACCCAACTCACTCACTCACTCACTCACTCATTAGAGGTAGTTTAAACAGCGCACTGATCACAATACGCACCACAAAAAGCATCCTCGTCCAGTGTATTATATTTCTATTCTATTGCGATACGCTGCACCTTGAACGTCTTGAACTTTGTTCGAAAGAGCTGCAACCTAAAATGAAAGGGCTGCCAACCAAAAAGAAAGGGCTGCATCCCAAAAGACACAATGCAGCGTCCGGGGATCCCGGCAATTCATCCCAGTATGAGACTCTTGATAATCGGGCTTGCGCAAAGTACTTGATCTACACATTGATAAACGTTCGTTGCCACAAAGGACATCAAACACCGTCTCAACGGGAATCTGATCCTCCGCAAACATGACAGTCGCCTTTCACGGCAAGCATGGGTTGCTGAAGACCTATTCTACCCCGGGTCTTCACGGGTCTTTTACGCCCAATCGGCGGATAGTCGGGCGTAAACGTTAAATATTTACACAGTATACCAATGTGAGGAATCGAACCCGGGATTTTGAATTGACAGGCGAACGCCTTAACCACAATGTGGGTTGTTATGTATACTATGTATAACCCGCATTTTGTATAACAACCACATCAATACTGGGTAATGTCATGAACAGTAATCTTTCTTGACAGATTTCCTCAGTAGCCTTTTGTAATTCATAAATTAATTAATTTTACAGTGTATCTAGGCAGTAATATTGCGCTCGCTTAGAACATGTAATTAATGCAGCCTTCAGTTTGGTCTTGACATCTTGAGTTAGTGAGTATGGTTTTGCGCCGCTTTTAGCAACATTCCAGCAATATCACGGCGGGGGACACCGGAAATTGGCTTCACACATTGTACCCATGTTGGGAATCGAACTCAGGTCTTTGGCGTGACGAGCGAACGCTTTAACCACCTGGCTACCCATTTCTGGTGTCCCCCGCCGTGATATTGCTGGAATACTGCTTAAAGCGGCGAAAAAACATACTCACTCACTAATGCCTGGGTGAAACTAAGCCATTGTTTCTATGTAGTTGCAGTAATCACTGATAAAGTCTGTGAACTAAGAAAATATCCAGTGTTATGACTTTAAATGATTTTCAATTTATATTGTCAACACAGTATAGTTACTAATCTTACAAATACATATATTTAATCATGTGTCAAAAAAATAGAAAATGTGCACCCAACACACAGCAGCTGCTCCATTGAACACAACAGCGGAAAGCTTCTCCAGTTCCATAAAGCATCATCGCAAAAAACTTTCAAAATTGATCGATGAAGATGAATTGTTCATCGAGTTGAGATCACAATGGCAGATGTTGCACCGGTTGGCCTAGGAAGACGACCAGTACCCGAGGCACGAAAATTCCTGAGGGTGTATTTATTGCTTGGTCTATTGCTAGTCTTCAGTAACTAGTTTGTCAATATCTTTCGCCTTGTTGGAAATATTCGCAAATATATATGTATACATCAGTCACACATCATCATATCACATATCATTGTGAGGTATGGTAAGATGGATACCCTGCAGCTGAGGGATGTGCGTAAAGGGTCATTCACATGGCACAACTAGTTGGTACAACTTGTTGTATGCGATTAGTTGTACCGTGTAAATGGCCATTAAGTCGGATAAGGTTTTCGCTCGTCTCAAGTTCCGTTTGCGAATCCAAATATGGGTAAAATGAAGCATATGTTTGGGTTCATTTTTGGGACGTTGGTAAAACGGCGTAACACTATATTCACTCAGCGTCACCCTGAAGACTGGCTTCGATTCCCATCTTGAGTACAATATGTGAGTCCATTTCTGTTCTTCTCTCGCCTTGATATTGCTGGAAAATCCTAAAGACGGAATAAAACCATACTCAGTCACTCACTCATTCTGAATGCGACAGGAGCCCTGTGATGTCGGTGATGAAACAGGACAAGAACTGTGATGAGTGTTCTTGTATGTTTGAACAACTGCTCACGCTTCTTGGGTAACATTGTACATTGACCAAACTGTCCACTCTGCCTTCTTTCAATACGTGAAGCTCCGAGGTAGAATAGGTCTTCAGCAACCCTTGCTTGCCGTAAAAGGCGACTGTGGCCTCTGTAAAGCTTTCAAAACGTTTAACGTTAGACAGGTGGAGGGCATTTAAAAGTTTGACGCATCACTTACAAAAAATGATGTCAGGTGCAAAGTTTTGACCATTTGTTCCCGTGGTTTTCAGTGAACAACTGACTTGCCTTTGCATGTGTTTGCGACGGGTGCCGACTGTGGGACAGGATACGCTCACCCTTCTGTGAACTCCTGGTATCATCACTATTTGATAGTAATTCATAAACACATGCTCGTGATATATAAGGAATCGTACAATGGACTCCGTTTTATAGTTTTCTTATGACTATGGACCCGTGAAGTTCCGGGGTAGAATAGGTCTTCGGCAACCCATGCTTGCCGTAAAAAGACGACTGTGCTTGTCGTAATAGGCGACTTACGGGATCGGGTAGTCAGGCTCGCTGACTTGGTTGATGCATGTCATCGTGTACCGATTACATGGATCGATGCTCATGGTGTCAATCACAGGATTGTGTCGTCCAGACTCGATCATTGTTCAGACCGCCGTTTAAAGCTGGAATATTGCTGAGTGCGGCGTTAAACAACAAACAAACAATACACACAGCCCTCCATTGCGCAATGAAAGTGTATCCTGTAAGTATGCACCGACCTGACCTTCACATCAATGGCGGCGTCCAAAATGACATAAAATTAGCCAAACTGTTTGTTCCATTTCAGTGAGACAAAATAAGATAATATTAACAATAGCTTTCAGACTTCTGTGTATTCACAAAATCACAATAACATTCACCTTTTTCATAACTGGATCAAACCGTAAAATGGCTACTCTGATGGATAAATTACATACCAATGTCCAGTTTTCAGCGGATATCAGGGGCGGTAGCCTAGCGGTTGAAGCGTTCGCTCGTCACGCCGAAGACCCGGGTTCGATTCCGAACAATGTACAATGGGTGAAGCCTATTGTACTTGTAGTAGGTTCCAGAGGACAATTATCCTGAAGGCACAGAGGCAATCAGCACAAAGGGAAAAAAGAGACACTTTTAAAACAAAGGCACATGAAAGCCACAAAAAAACTTTCCACAATCATTAGACATTTCTGTACGTTTGTACCAATGTACGATTCCGATGAGATCATAAGCAAATAGTGATGACAGGTGTTCGCGAAAAAGGGGGCGTATCCTGCTCCACCGGTGGCACCTTTACAAACACATGCAAAGACAAGTCAAGTGTTCGTGAAAAACTCATATGGTACAAGTCAAAATAAGGAACTGCATCAGACATCATTTTTGCCATCAATACGTTAAATATGTAGTGTTGTTGCCCTCTTCAAACAACTTTTGAGCAAGAGTCGAACAACACTCTATAAAATCTTAACAGTAAAATTATGGTCGATTAGACCTTGTGAATGTGAAATATAGACACCAATGGTTGGAGCTGCTGGAATATTCTCGACATAAAAATGACTTTTGCCATCTCCCTTGTGGGTATTTATTTTTTGTCGCTCTGCTTCTTTACACACAGACCTAAATATGAAACAGATGAGGCGGTTTCTCTTGTCACTCGTTTTTCTGGTTCAGATAGGTAAACGATTACCGAGATCCTATCTGACTAAACCAGGAGTGAGTGAGTGAGTGAGTTGGGTTTAACGCCGCTTTTGACAGTATTCCAGTTATATCACGGCGTGTCAGCTTAATGTGGGAGGAAAGCCCGAAGTGATGCAGGTCTCAGACGTTTACCACTTCGGTGAAACCCACGAGCACGGGTATGGTGCTGACAAACCTAGAAACATAATCGGGGCGAACCGGGATTCGAACCCACAATCATAGGTTTCTGGCGTACCCAAGGGACGCAACTCTGCACAGCGAATCGCGGTGCCTTAGACGACTGGGCCACCCGTGCCCCCGACTAATCCAGGAAAAGAGGTAACGAGTTAATGTAAATCAGTGGAAGGGATTTGACTATTTGACCATCATTGAACGATATCAGATCATTGATATTCCTCAAACTTCAGTTACCGTTCTAGACATCAGACAAAGACTCCAGACACCACCATGACTAAAACAAAACGACGACAACCGACTCAAATGGGACAAAACATACCGGAGACGCAATTGTCACGAATACGAACCAATGACTTTAAAATGCTTTAACCACTAGGCTGGCAATGTGTCCAGGCTTGGTGCTGCAGGTATAGGTATAGCGACAAGTTTGTATATCTTCTTAATGTTTGTTGTTTAAGGCCGCACTTAGCAATATTCAAGCTATATGACGGCGGTCTGTAAATAATCGAGTCTGGACCAGACAACCCAGTGATTGACATTATGAGCATCGATCCATGCAGTTGGGATCGATGACATGCATCAACCAAATCAGCGAGCCTGGCCACCCGATCCCGTTAGTCGCCTCTTACGACAAGCATAGTCGCCTTTTACGGCAAGCATGGGTTGCTGAAGACCTATTCTACCCCGGATCTTCACGGGTCGCATGTATATCTATTGTTTAAGGTACAATCAACACTTTTCCATCTATATGATGTTTGCCCGTAAATATTAGGGTAATATGCTGATTAAAATTAGATGTGTAAAGAGCCAGCCTTCTTCCTTCGAAATGTTTATTTTCCACAT